TGTTTCAATTCCCATCCCGGGCACATGCCTAGGCTGCAGGACAGGTCGCAAGTACGGGGCACATGGCCGGCTACTGCACATAATATTCCTCACCCTCTCTTTCTCCTTCCCTTCCTCTCTTTCTAAAAATAAACCAAATCTTAAAAAAAACAATAATACTCAAAACCATGGTAGTTGCTGGTAGTCTATTCCACAGGGTTGTTAGGAGGACTCAGTGTATTAATACCTATAAGACAATTAGAGTAGTTACTGCTGGGACAGGGCAGATTGTACAAGGCAGTGTTAGATACTCATTTGTTAGTAAGTCAGTAGAGTGGTTAGGGGGACTTGGGTGAGTCACTCGCCCAGCGTGTCCCATCTCTTCAAACTGATAGTTGTGCACTGCATGGGGTGCCCTAGTTCAACATTGGAGGTGACTGGGCTTCTTTTCCCAAGTTCACCGTTTGCTACAGTTCTTTTGCCCAAGCACATAATGGTCCCATATCAGGTAAGAGAAGGTGTCAGATAATTCTGGCCTTGAAAAAGGCAGAAAATTGTTTCCCAAGTCATCTGTGCACACTTTTCCCCAGGAACAAAGGACCACAAGGAAAGGTCCATACCCTCCTGCTGCTGCTTAAAAGCAAGTACCATATTCACCTCCAAGGCCCTCTGTGTTTCCTCCCTGGACTTCAGGTTACCACAGAACTGGCCATCAGTGTGAAGGCTCAGTGACTCACCAGGGATCGGCGTGGGGTGGGATCGCCGCAGAAATGCCTGGGTGGAGGGTCCAATGGCAGCAGCAAGGATGAGGAAGGGGAGGGCAGCTGCGGAGATCTTCATCTTCCAGGTGTGCGGGCAGAGCTGGCCTGAGAGCTCCTGGGTTCTCTCTGCTCCTGACTCCCTGGGACCCCAGCCCTGCCCTGGAGTTTATGAGAAGAGAATCAGGAAGTCACAGGACAGACGTCAACAGAATGCCCTTTGGCTACACAGTTGGCAAGATGATATTTCTAAGATCAGAACAACTGCTGGAATGCAACAGGAAGTTGAGGGCAACGATAACTTGGGGTTATCTCAGCTGTCCAATGGATGTAGGCAGAAGTGTCAAAATCTCAGTCAGGGGTCTTAGCCAAGGCAGGGGTCGGGGGACCCTGTGGCAGCAGCTCTCCCATCCTCTGAGGGTGGAAGTGCTACAGGGGGAAGAGCAGGTGGACCAGAGAGCTCTCTGGGGAACTGTTCTTCCCCTTGTAAAGCAGCTCCCTGCTTCTTCTTGCTCTCTGTGTGTAAATGTCATGTCTGCAAGTGCCAGGTTGTGATGCTTACTTTTCCCCAAATGAATCCTTCTTGTGGAGGGAATACCTAGTCAACATTTTGTTTATGGTAGACAAGAGTGAGCATGTTTTATTTATTTAATTTTTAAAAATATTTTATTGATTATGCTGTTACAGCTGTCCCATTACCCCCCTCCATCCTCCTCCACCCTGCACACCCTTCCCCCACCCACACTCCCCACTCTAGTTTATGTCTCTGTGTCATAAGTTCTTTTGCTTCTACATTTCCCATACTATTCTTGCCCTCCCCCTGTCTATTTTCTACCTACCATCTATGCTACTTATTCTCCATACCTTTTGCCCCTCTCTCCTCCTCCCACTCCCCTGTTTCTAACCCTCCATGTGTTCTCCATTTCTGTGGTTGTGTTCCTGTGCTTGTTGTTTGCTTAGTTTTTTTGTTTTAGGTTTGGTTGTTAATAATTGTGAGTTGCTGTCACTTTACTGTACATCTTGTTTACGTTCTTTTTCTTAGATAAGTCCCTTTAAGATTTCATAAAATAAGGGCTTGGTGATGATGAACTCCTTTAACTTGACCTCATCTGAGAAGCACTTTATCTGCCCTTCCATTCTAAATGAAAGCTTTGCTGGATAGAGTAATCTTGGGTGTAGGTCCTGGCCTTTCATGACTTGGAATACTTCTTTCCAGTGACTTCTTGCCTACAAGGTCTCATTTGAGAAATCAGCTGACAGTCTGACGGAAACTCCTTTGTAGATTACTGTCTCCTTATGTCTTGCTGCTTCTAGGTTTCTCTCCTTCATTTTTACCTTGGGTAATGTAATTATGATGTGCCTTGATGTGTTCCCCCTGGGTCCAAGTTCTTTGGGACTCTCTGAGCTTCCTGGACTTCCTGGAAGTTTATTTCCTTTGCCAGAATGGGGAAGTTCTCCTTTAGTATTTGTTCAAATAAGTTTTCCACTTGTTGCTCTTGCTCTTCTCCTTCTGGTACCCCTAGAATTCAGATGTTGGAAGGTTTCAAGATGTTCTGGACGCTCCTAAGCCTCCCCTCATTTTTCTGAAGTCTTATTTCTTCATTCTTTTCTGTGTGATTGTTTCTTTCTTTTTTCTGGTCCACTCCATTGATGTGAGACCCAGCTTTCTTTTCATCCCTATTGGTTCCCTGTGTATTTTTCTTCATTTTTCTTATTGTAGCCTTCATTTTTCATCTCATTTGTAACCAAAATCAGTCAATTCTCTGAGCATCCTGATCACCAGTGTTTTGAACTGTGCATCTGATAGTTGGCTATCTCTTGGTGGCTTAAATGGATGGGTTCTGCGGCTTTTGTTTGTTCTTCTGTTTGAGCCATTTCTTTCTTTTCTTTTCTTTTCTTTTTTCTTTTTTTGGACTGGTCGAACCTGTTATGTCTGAGGGACAGAGCTTTAGATGTTCACCAGGGCAGGGCACCCCAGTGGCTGGGTTGTGAAGCTGTATGTGGGGACAGTGTTCGAGAGGGAACAATAGTGCTTGCTCTGCTCTACCGATTTCAGTCCTGTCCACCGCTTCCCCTAAGCAAACTGGACCTTTCTGTTGCCAATTCCTGGATTGGTGGGCTTGTGCACCCCGTGGGTCTTTCCAAGGAACTCTCCTGTGAGGCTGGGAGTCTCTCCCTTGGCCTGAACCCCCCCAGTTGTTTTCAATCAGTGCTCCAAGGCTGTAATTTTTCAGTGCTGGTACCCTTGGCTGTTAGTAGTGCCTTGCTTCACAATCATCACCTTGCTGGGTCTGTGGTTGCCATCCCTCGGCCAGGCTTTCCCAGCCACTGCTTGCATGGCCAGGGTCTGCCCACTGCCATCTTATATACCCGTTCCTAACGCCCTTGATCCCACGCTACCCCTCTCTGCCTGGCTGCCCGACTCCACCCCTCCTCTGGTCTGGATGAAGGTGTCTATTTTAACTCCTTGGTTGTCTGACTTCCATACAGTTCAATCTTCTGTAAGTTCTCGTTGTTACTCTGTTTCTAAATTGTTGTTGTCCCTATCTTGGTTGTGCGAGGGGGCACAGTGTGTCTACCTATGCCTCCATCTTGGCCTGAAGTCCTATTTATTTATTTATTTATTTTTTTAATCTCAATTGATCATGCTTATTGACTTGAGAGAGAGAGAGAGACATACACACACATGGATGTGATTGCCTGCATTGCATGTCCCAGTCAGAGAGACACCATGCAGCCTTTTGACGTGTGGGGTGGCTCTCCCACAAACTGAGCCTTTGGGTCAGGGCTGAGTTCATTTTGTTTTTTAACGATGGACATGTATGTGTGCTTGTTCTCACTTTAGTTTCTGTTCCAACTAATGTAGTTCTTACTAGTTTAGATTTTATACGCACATTAGCGAATGTTTCTCGTTTCGTCTCCCAGTGGTCCATGGCATTTATCTTTTCTCTTAGTGTTTCCTCTGTTAGGTCATTGGTAAAGAGCTATAGCCTGTAGCAATAACTCAGACTCTGGGCAGTGTCTATGAACATTATTATTCAAATAACATCAGATGCACATCTCCCAGCAAGTCAAAATTGTCAGTTTATTTCCCACACGGACTTCTTGAAACACAATATGATTTGTGTAAAACATGCTATACATACAAACTCACTACATTTAATTACCAGCAGACGGAGTCATGAACTCATGGACTCTTGAAATTCGATTCAAGCTGCTGCACGGAGACCACTTCTTTCCCTAATCCTCCTGCCCTGATTCCCCAAAGTGCTAACCTTAACTTTGACTTCCGAGTGTCAATAGTTTCCAGCTTTTGGTCTTGAAGTCATTGGTTCACTTTGTTATTTTCTTAAGTATATTTTATTGATTATGCTATTACGGTTGTCCCATTTTTTCTCCCCTTTATCCTCATCTGCCCTGTGCCCCCCACCCACTAGTATCTCCCCTGTACCCCCACCTCACTTCGTGTTCATGGGTCGTACACAGGAGTTCCTGGGCTTCTCTATTTCCCATACTGTTCTTAACCTCCCCCTGCCTATTCTGTACCTACCATTCAGGTTTCTTATTCCTTGCACTTTTTCTCCACATTCTCCCTTCTCCGCATCCATACTGACAACCCTCCCTGTGATCTCCATTCTGTGATTTTCTTCCAGTTCCAGTTGTCTGCTTAGTTTGTTTGTGTTTTTTAGGTTTGGTGTTTTATCGTTGTAAGTTTGTTGTCATTTTACTGTTCATAGTTTTGATCTTCTTTTTTTGCTTAGGTAAGGCCCTTTAGCAGTTGATAGCATAAGGGTTTGGTCATGATGCACCCTTTTAACTTCACCTTATCTGGGAAGCCCTTCACCTGCCCTTGGGAAATGCAACTTTGACTGATGTTCTGTTTGCTTTCGATCAGGCCCCAGACTTTCTGAGATTCCCTGTTAACTTACCAATTTTTCTCTAGAGCAGATGCAAGTGGTTTATGTCCAGTAGAAGAGACAATCCAAAGGTTATAGTTATATTGCAATTTTGGATATTACTGTTTTTCTCGAAGTTTCAGAATGTCATTCCCAACTAGCAGTGCAGGGCTCTATTCGTCAGATGGTCTTAGAGTCAGTTTCATGGTTCCCTCATTAGTGGGTTCAGTACATTTGGGACACGTACTCCATCTGTACTCGAATGAGTCATGTTTCTACCTTCTGAAAAAGGACTCTATGATGTCTCACTTTCAAAAAACCACAAATCCAAAGTTCACCAATTCCTACATTTCTTATTCCTCTTCTAGTTCAAGTACAGTCAAATTGAACAGTTTTTATTGGTGCACAGTTTTTACAAAGAGAACAGAACATAATTGTTGCTTTTGACAAAAGAATTCAGGCCAAGAAACTCCAGAAAGTGTGAGAATGGAGGTGGGTGTGTGGTATCTATTGTAGCTTCTTCTCAACCAGCACATTTTTCTGTCTCTTGGCTGCATCCATGTCTTCCATACACCACTCCACTGCTTGAATCTGGGGACTAGCACAGAACTCATCCCCCTTGTTGGTTGTGAAGCTGAGGAGAAAGATTATACAGTGAGGAGGGTTCTGCATATAAGGATGGGGAGTCCCATCCTCCTGGCCCCTGGGGTTCTCCACTCAGCCTCCTTTCTCTGCTGCAGGCTCTCAGGGGATCTCCTCTGGGAGACCCTGCCCCTGACACCCCCTCAGTGACTCAGGGGAGCTTCCTGGGGCAGCCTTGCTACTGCGGTCCCTCCCTTCCCTCGCCTCCCTGTCTACTGAGAGCATGTGGTACCTGATGCTCTACCGGATCCTGATGAGGACACAGCGTTCCCCAAATTTGAAGCATCTAGAAGGTGAGGCTTTTCCTGACCACCCTCTGTCATAAGATCACCACCCCCAGACATGGTCCCTAAGCTTGGCACTTACAGGATAGCAGGCAGGAAGCACCCAACAATTCTTCGAACATAATCCTTCATGTGTTTGCATAGGAAAGATGGTGAGGTGTAGGACAAGCAGCAGTCCCCACAGCGGCGCACGGCTGCAGCAGGAGAAAGTGGATGAAAGGATGGAGCCCCTTTCTGAGGAAACTACATCTTTTCCCCTTTTTTCTCCAGAGTACAGGGGAGGGTGTGAAGGGGAAGAACTCAGAAGGAGTGATTTCCTCCACTGCAGCACCTGCTGGCATCTCCTTGCTCCCCCGCCCAGGGTTGAGCTGTGCACCCAGGCAGGGCCAGGACCACTCCTCCCAGAAGTGGAAGGTCTGATGCTGCAGGAGGCATCAGAGAGCGCCACCTCCCCAAGGTCAGCAGACTGCAGGACAGCCAGGTGGGAGAGAGCTCATGTATGGGGAGGGATCCAGAGTGCATTCTGGTCTCCCTTGGAGCTGTCCCCTCCCCCTTTCCCCATGTCCTGTAAACGAGGAGGACTGAAGCCACTGAGCACATCTTACCCACCAGCTACTTTTAGATACATGCCACCACGAAACATTTGCCTCCTTGGTCTATTATGGCTTGATCCCAGTCACATATGGCCAACCCGAATTCTATTAGAAAGAGACAGGAGGGAAGAGGAATCACTGGGAGGCAGCACTGTGTCAGTATCTCTGCCTGTGTCACCCCAGCCCAGCCCCCGGGTGGGGCGGCATTCCTGCTGGACACTGGGAGCCTGTGCAGGTTCTGGGCCTGCCTCCCGGCCAGTTGTCTCACGGGTGCCCTGAGATTTTTGAGGGAACTTCTGAAAATGTTTGAAACATGAAAATGTTCTATTGATGTCCTTATTTTATTGACTTTAAATACAAAAAGCAAATCACTAGTGCCACCTGGATAAATCAGTCACACAGCCACACCATGTGACATAGTCCACAATATGCTTTCTGGGCATTTTGGGACCCACTGGGCTCTGGAGACAGAAAGATATTTCATTACGCGATATGGTGGCACAGTGTCAGCCAAAGTGAAGTGAGGCTATTTATAGCCTTTGTCCCATTAGTATGAAGATTTGTTGTGTTTGCTGCAGAAATGTTACTGTTTGATTCAAGTATGCTTCCCAGAGTCTGCCAGGACTGTTAGGAATGTCCAGTTCTGAGTTAACTTTTAAAAACATTTTTATTTTTTGAACATGTGTTCAAATATACATAATATAAAATGTACAATTTTGACCCTGCTCTTCTGTCCTGGAGCTCTGACTCCGTACCCTACAGGGATGTAGACCCACCCAGTACATGCAGGGTGGGGCAGAAGTGGGTGTACAGGGGTTTGTGTAGAAAATAGTACAGTAATTAAGAAATAACAATAAAAGAATAAACTCTGTGTTTTGCACACTCACAACTGTGGACACACTCTCATCAACCCCGTAGTTATCAGGGGAATGAATGGCAAAGAGACCTGGGGGGGACTGTGAGGGGCTCGCCCATCAGATAGGACAAGGAGGAAATGCCAGCAAAGCCAGAAGAACAGTCAGGATTCTTTCAGGCTCAGAGGAAGAACAGAAGCTGTGTACTGTAGACCAGAGTCACCAAATGTTAACCGTTTCCCAATGCACAGTTTGGGAGCATGAAGGACATTCCCATATTGTACAGCTCTAACCACAGACTGTCCACGGGGCTTCATGCATCTTGTAAAATTGCACCTCTGACCCAAGTAGACAGTGACCCCCCACCCCCTGTCGCCCAGCCCCTGGCCACCACCATTCTACTTTCTGTCTCTCTGACTCGGCTGTTTTCAGTGCCTCCTGTCAGCGGAACCAGACAGTGTTCACCCTTCGTTACTGGCTCATCTCACTGATCAAAACGTCGGGTGCAGACCTGTGCTCACTGTTCCTCCGTGTGGGAACATGTGTCCCAGTTTCCGTCCTTTTCGGGTGAATAATATTCTACTGTGTGTACAACATATTCCCCACTTTGAATCCATTCATCTGTGCATGGATACTTGGGGTGCTTCCCCTGGTGTGTTAGAAATGATGGAGCTGTTAGCATGGGTGTGCAGGCATCTGCTAGGTACCTGCTTCCCATTTTTTTGGGCGTGCATCCCGAAGTGGAGTTGCCGGTGATACTGTGTCACCATTTTGAACCTGAAAGACTCTGCATTCCAAAGAGCGCCTAGCGCCTGTGTTCTGGGAAGGGATTGCAGGGCTCCACTATGCTAGTTAGGCAAATGCACTGAACTGTTGGCTCATTTCTTATGCAGTTACATACGAATTACGTTTAATGAAGCACATCTGTTCCCTGCAGTGTGCTTGATATGCTGCATGTGGGGCTGGCTAAATAAAGTCTTAAATGGACTTGTTAACTTTTCATAACAGCTTCTTAGCTCAATCATACCCTAACCCCACCACTCACTGGCTGTAGGATCTGAGCAAGTTATCTAAGGCCTCTGTGCCTCAGGTTCCCATGTGTAATTTGAGACTAATAATAATAATATGCAAAACCACCCTGGAAGGTGTAGCTCAGAGGATTGAGCATGGGCCTGTGACCCAAAGGGTCACTGGTTCAATTCCCACCCAGGGCACATGCGTGGGTTGCCTGCCAGGTCCCAGGTACGGGGCGCATGACCGGCTACTGCACATGACGTTTCTCACCCTCTGTTTCTCCTTCGCTTCCTCTCTTTCTAAAAGTAAACCAAATCTTAAAAAAACAATAATACTCAAAACCATGGTAGTTGCTGTAGTAACCATGGTAGTAAACCCTATTCCACAGGGTTGTTAGGAGGACTCAGTGTATTAACATCTATAAGACAATTAGAGTAGGTTCTGCTGGGACAGGGCAGATTGTACAAGGCAGTGTTACATACTCATTTGTTAGTAAGTCAGTAGAATGATTAGGTGCACTGGGTGACTCACTGGCCCGGATTGTCCCATCTCCTCTTTACTGATAGTTGTGCACTGCATGGGGTACCCTAGTTCAACATTGGAGGTGACTGGGCTTTTTTCCCCAAGTTCACCGTTTGCTACAGTTGTTTTGCTCAAGCACATAATGGTCCCATATCAGCTAAGAGAAGGTGTGAGATAATTCTGGCCATGAAAAAGGAAGAGAATAGTTTCCAAAATCGTCTGTGCACACTTTTTCCTCGTGGACCAGAGGAAACAGGGAAAGATCCATACCCTCCTACTGCTGCTTTTAAGCAAGTGCCAAATTCACCTCCAGGACCTCTGTGTGGGCTCCCTGGACTTCAGGTTACCACCAAACTGGCCACCAGTGTGAAGGCTCATTGACTCACCAGGGGCAGAAGATCGAAAAGATGCCTGGGCCGGGGGTCCAAGGGCAGTAGCAAGGATGAGGAAGAGGAGGGCACCTTTGGAGATCTTCATCTTCCAGGTGTGCGGGCAGAGCGGGCCTGAGTGCTCCCGGGCTCTCTGCTCCTGACTCCCTGGGACCCCAGCCCTGCCCTTGAGTTTATGAGAAGAAGAGAATCAGGAAGTCACAGGGCAGACATCAACAGAATGCCCTTTGGCTACACAGTTGGCAACATGATATTTCTAAGATCAGAACAACTGCTGGAATGCAACAGGAAGTTGACAGAAACGATAACTTGGAGTTATCTCAGCTGCCCAATGGATGTAGGCAGAAGTGGCAAAAATATTAGCCAAGGCAGGGGTCAGGGGACCCTGTGGCAGCAGCTCTCCCATCCTCTGAGGGTCGTGGAGGTCCTACAGGGAGAAGTGCAGGTGGACCAGAGAGCTCTCTGGGGAACTGTTCTTCCCCTTGTAAAGCAGCTCCCTGCTTCTTCTTGCTCTCTGGGTGTAAATGTCATGTCTGCAAGCGCCAGGTTGCCATGCTTACTTTTCCCCAAATGAATCCTTCTTGTGGAGGGAATACCTAGTCTAGTTTCTGTTTGATAGATAATAGTGACCATATTTTATTGATTTAAGTTTTTAAATCTCAATTGATCATATGTTTATTGACTTGAGAGAGAGAGAGAAACACTGATGTGATTGCCTGCATTCCTGTCCCAGTCGGGGAAAGACCGCGCAGCCTTTTGACGTGTGGGCGGCTCTCCCACCATCTGAGCCCTGGAGCCAGGGCTGAGCTCACTTTGTCTTTTAATGACGGGCATGTGTGTGCTCTCGTTCTGAATTTTGTTCCTGTTCCAAGTTATGTAGTTTTTACTCGTTTGGACTTTATACACATATTAGCAAATGTTTCTAGTTTCATCTCCCAGTGTCCATAGCATTTACATGTTTTCTCTTAGTGTTTCTTTTGTTAGGTCATTGGTAAAGAGGTGTAGCCTATAGCAATTACTCAAACTCAGGGCAGGGTCCGTGAACATTATTGTTCAAATAACATCTGATTCACATCTCCCAGCAAGTCGAAATTGCCAGTTTACTTCCCACAGAGACTTCTCGAAACATCAATATGATTTGTATGAAACAGGCTATATATGAAAACTCTCTATATTTAAAACTCTATACATAAAAAGTACCACATTTTGTAGTAACCTGAAGTCCAGAGAGGAGACACAGAGGGCCTGGAGGTGAATTTGGCACTTGGTTAAAAGCAGCAGCAGGAGGGTGTGGACCTTTCCCTGTGGCCTCTGGTCCCTAGGAAAAGTGTGCACAGATGACTTGGGAAACAATTCTCTTCCCTTTTCATGGCCAGCAGACGGAGTCATGAACTCACACTTGAAATGCAATTCAAGCTGCTAGACAGTGACCACTTCTTTCCTTCATTCTCCTGCCCTGATTCCCCAAAATGCTGACCTTAACTTTGACCTCCATGTATCAAAACTTTCTGGCTCTTGCTCTTTAACTCATTGGTTCACTTTATTATTTTCTTAAGTATATTTTGTTGATTATGCTATTACAGTTGTCCCATTTTTTCTTTCCTTTATCCTCATCTGCCCTGCACCCCCCACCCACTAGCATCTCCTCCGTCCCCTGCCTTAGTTCATGTTCATGGGTCGTACACAGAAGTTCTGGGGCTTCTCCATTTCCTATACCATTCGTAACCTTGCCGCGTGTATTTTGTACCTGCCATGCACGCTTCTTATTCCCTGGACCTTTTCCCCACGTTCTTCCTACTCTCCCTCCACTCCCAGAACCCTCCATGTGATCTCCATTCTGTGATTTTCTTCGTGTTCTAGTTGTCTGCTTAGTTTGTTTTTTAGGTTTGGTGATTTCTACTTCTAAGTTTGTTGTCATTTTACTGTTCATAGTTTTGATCTTCTTGTTTTGTTTAGGTAACTCCCTTTAACAGTTTATAGCAGAAAGTCTTGTTGATGATGAACTCCTTTAACTTCGCCTTATCTGGGGCGCACTTTACCTGCCCTTGGGAAACGCACGTTTGATTGATGTTCTGTTTACTCCGGATCAGGCCCCAGACTTTGGGAGATTCCCTGTTAACTTACAAATTTTTTCTAGAGCACATGGAAGTGGTTTTTGTCCAGTAGAAAAGACAATCCGAAAAGTTACAGTTATATTGCAATATTTGATAGTTGAAACTTGAAGTTTCAGAATGCCACCCCCAGCTGTGTGAATCCTTATTCCTCAGATGGTCTTAGAGTCAGTTGCATGGTTCCCTCATTAGTGGGTTCAGTACATCTGTGACACATGCTCCCTCTGCATTTGAATGAGTCATGTTTTTCCCTTCTTAAAAGTGACTCTATGATGTCTCATTTAAAAAGAAACACACAAATCCAAAGCTCAGCAATTCCTATGTTTGTTTTTCCTCACACAGTTCAAGTAAAGGAAATTGGATACTTTTTAATGGTGCACAGTTTTTACAACCAGAACAGAACATGATTGTTGTTTTTGACAAGAGAATTCAGGCCAAGAAACTCCCAGAAGGTGAGAGAGTGGACGTGGCTGCGTGGCATCTAGTGTAGCTCCTCCTCAGCCAGCCGTTTTCCCAGTGTATTTTCTGGGTGCACCTTCATCATGCATTCCTGAACTCTCTCATTGATGGGGTTGGTACAGACCTTTTGCCCGCTCTTGGTTAAGAAGCTGAGGAGCAAGGCAGAGAACAATTATACAGCGAGGAGGGTTCTGCACATAAGGATGGGGAGCCCCATTTCCTGGCCCCTGGGGTTCCCCACTCAGCCCCACTGTTCCTCCCTTCTCTGCTGCAGGGTCTCAGGGGGTCTCCTCTGGGAGATCCTGCCTCTGACACCCCCCTCAGTGACTCAGGGGGCCTTCCTGGGGCAGCCTTGCTCCTGCTCTCCCCTCCCGTCCCTGGCCTCCCTCTTCCCTGGGGGCACCTCGTGTCTGATGCTCTGTGGCATTCTAACGAGGCCACACGCATCCGGAGGGGGAGAATTTTCTGCACCTCCCTCTGTCATCCCATCACCACCCCAAGACATGGCCCATAAGCTTGGCACTTACATTACAGCAGGCTGGGAGCACGCACTGCTTGTTTCATAAAAACTCTCCATGAATACACATCGGATATTTCGGGGGGTGTAGGAGTGGCAGCAGTCAGTGGGACGGTGCACGCCTGTAGCAGGGGAAAAGTCCACATAAGGATGGACCCTCTTTCTGAGAACAACTATATCCTTTCCCTTTTTTCTCCAGAGTACAGGGGAGGGTGTGAAGGGGAAGAATTATAAAGGGGTGATTTCCTCCTCTGCAGCACCTGCTGGCATCTCCTTGCTCCCCTGCCCGGGGTTGAGCTGTGCACCCAGGCAGGGCCAGGACCACTCCTCCCAGAAGTGGAAGGTCTGATGCTGCAGGAGGCATCAGAGAGCGCCACCTCCCCAAGGTCAGCAGACTGCAGGACAGCCAGGTGGGAGAGAGCTCAGGTATGGGGAGGGACCCACAGTGCACCCTGGTCTGCCCTGTAAATGTCCCTTCCCCCTTTCCCCATGTCCCGTAAACGAGGAGGAGTAAAGGCAGTGAGCACATCTGACTCACAAGCTACCTTTAAATACATAACATAATGATATATTTACCTCCATGCCCGATTAGGGGGTGATCAGGTTTGCCCATCATGATACCTATTGGGAGAGAGAGACAGGAGGGAAGAGGAATCACTGGGAGGCAGCGCTGTGTCAGCATCTCTGCCTGTGTCACCCCAGCCCAGCCCCCGGGTGGGGCGGCATTGCTGCTGGACACGGGGTGCCTGTGCGGGTTCTGGCCCTGCCTCCCGGCCAGTTGTCTCACGGGTGCCCTGAGATTTTTCAGGGAACTTCTGAAAATGTTTGAGACATGAAAAGTTGTATTGACTTCCTTTTTTTCCTATTGACTTTAAATACAAAAGCAAACTGCAGATGCCACCTGGATAAATCAGTCGCACAGACACACCATGTGACATAGTCCACAACATGCTTTCTGCACATTTCTGGGACCCACTGTGCTCTGGAGACAGAAAGATGTTTCGTTAAGTGATTTGGTGGCACAGTGTCACCCAAAGTGAAGTGGGGCTATTTATAGCCTTTGTCCCATTAGTATGAAGATTTGTTGTGTTTGCTGCAGAAATGTTACTGTTTGATTCAAGTATGCTTCCCAGAGTCTGCCAGGACTGTTAGGAATGTCCAGTTCAGTGTTACTTTTAAAAATATTTTTATTTTTTGAACATGTGTTCAAATATACATAATATAAAATGTACAACTTTGACCCTGCTTTTCTGTCCTGGAGCTCTGACTCCGTGCCCTACAGGGATCTAGACCCACCCAGTACATGCAGGGTGGGGCACAAGAGGGTGTACAGGGGTTTGTGTGGAAAATAGTACAGTAATTAAGAAACAACAATACAAGAATAAACTCTGTGTTTCGCGCACTCACAACTGTGCACACACTCTCCTCACCCCCCGCAGTTATCAGGGGAATGAATGGCAAAGAGACCTGGGGGGGACTCTGAGGGGCTTGCCCATCAGATAGGACAAGGGGGAAATGCCAGCAAAGCCAGAAGAACAGTCAGGATTCTTTCAGGCTCAGAGGAAGAACAGAAGCTGTGTACTGTAGACCAGGGTGATCAAACGTTAACCATTTCCCAACGCACAGTTTGGGAGCATGAAGGACATTCCCATATTGTACAGCTCTAACCACAGACTGTCCACGGGGCTTTATGCATCTTGTAAAATTGCACCTCTGACCCAACTAGACGGTGACTCCCCACCCCCCATTCCTCAGTCCCTGTGCTCACTGTTCCTCCATGTGGTAGCATGTGTCCCAATTTCTATCCTTTCGGCTGAATAATATTCTACTGTGTGTACAACATATTCCCCACTTTGAATCCATTCATCTGTGCATGGATACTTGGGGTGCTTCCCCCCGGAATGTGTTAGGAATGATGGAGCTGTTAGCATGGGTGTGCAGGCATCTGCCAGGTACCTGCTTCCCATTTTTTTGGGCGTGCATCCCGAAGTGGAGTTGCCGGTGATACTGTGTCACCATTTTGAACCTGAAAGACTCGGCATTCCAAAGAGCGCCTAGCCCCCGTGTTCTGGGAAGGGATTGCAGGGCTCCACTATGCTAGTTAGGCAAATGCACTGAACTGTTGGCTCATTTCTTATGCAGTTACATATGAGTTATATTATAGAAGCACATCTGTTCCCTCCAGTGTGCTTGATATGCTGCATGTGGGGCTGGCTAAATAAAGTCTTAAATGGACTTGTTAACTTTTCATAACAGCTTCTTAGCTCAATCATATCCTAACCCCACCACTCACTGGCTGTAGGATCAGAGCAAGTTATCTAAGGCCTCTGTGCCTCAGGTTCTCATGTGTAAATTGAGACTGATAATAATAATATGCCTGACCGCCCTGGCAGGTGTAGCTCAGTGCATTAAGCTTGGACCATCGAACCAGAGGGCCGCTGCTTCAATTCCCAGTCAGGGCACATTCGTCAGTTGTGGGCCAGGTCCCTAGTAGCAGGCACATGACCGGCTACTGCACATGATGTTTGTCTCCCTCTCTTTCTCCTTCCCTTCCTCTCTTTCTAAAAGTAAACCAAATCTTTAAAAAACAATAATACTCAAAACCATGGCAGTTGCTGGTACTGTACTCCACAGGGTAGTTAGGAGGACTCAGTGTATTAACACCTATAAGACAATAGAGTAGGTTCTGCTGGGACAGGGCAGATTGTACAAGGCAGTGTTAGATACTCATTTGTTAGTAAGTCAGTGGAATGGTTAGGGAGACTTGGGTGAGTCACGATCCCGGGGTGTCCCATCTCCTCTTCAAACTGATAGTTGTGCACTGCATGGGGTACCCTAGTTCAACATTGGAGGTGACCAGGCTTCTTTTCCCAAGTTCACCATTTGCTACAACTCTTTTGCTCAAGCACGTAATGGTCCCATACCAGCTAAGAGTAGGTATCATGTAATTCTGGCCATGAAAAGGGAAGAGAATTGTTTCCCAAGTCATCTGTGCACACTTTTCCCAGGGACCAAAGGCCACAGGGGAAGGTCCACACCCTCCTGCTGCTGCTTTTAAGCAAGTGCCAAATTCACCTCTAAGACCCTCTGTGTCTCCTCCCTGGACTTCAGGTTATCCAATGAGGTGGACCTCATTGTCCACCAGTGTGAAGGCTCAGTGACTCACCATGGGCCGGGGCTCCATTGGCCGGGGGTCTGAGGGCAGCAGCAAGGATGAGGAAGAAGAGGGCAGCTGCGGAGATCTTCATCTTCCAGCTGTGCGGGCAGAGCTGGCCTGAGTGCTCCCGGGCTCTCTGCTCCTGACTCCCTGGGACCCCAGCCCTGCCCTGGTGTTTATAAAGGGAGGAAAATCAGGAAGTCACAGGGCAGACGTCACTGGACTGCTCCTCTGCCATATATTTGGCAACTTGATTTTTTTAAGATCGAACACGTGTGGGAATGCAACAGGAAGTTGAAAGCAATGATGACTTGAGGTTTTCTCAGCTGGCCAATGGATGTAAACAGAAGTGTCAAAATTTCAGACAGAGGCCTCAGCCACGACAGGAGTAAGGGGACCCTGTGGCAGCAGCTCTCCCATCCTCTGAGGGTCGTGGAAGTGCTACAGGGAGAAGTGCAGGTGGACCAGAGAGCTCTCTGGGGAACTTGTTCTTCCCCTTGTCAAAGAGCTCCCTCCTTCTTCTTGCTCTCTGTGTGTAAATGTCATGTCTGCAAGCACCAGGTTGCCATGCTTACTTTTCCCCAAATGAATCCTTTTTGTGGAGGGAATACCTAGTCGACTTTTTGTTTATGGTAGGCAAGAGTGGCCATATTTAATTTAATTTTATTTATTTTTTAAAATCTCAATTGATCATATGTTTATTGGCTTGAAAGATGGAGAGAGAGTAAGACGAAGAAACATTGATGTGAGAGAGAAACTTCAATCAATTGCCTGCATTATGTATCTCAAGCAGAGATCAAACATGCAATCTTTTCTGTAATTTTTATTTTATTGTTGTTCCATTATAGTTGTCTGCCTTTCCCCCCACCACTCTCCACCCACCCCTGCTATCCCCACCTCCCTCACTTGCTTCCATCCCTCCTTGGTTTTGTCCATGTGTCCTTTATAGTTGTTCCTGAAAACCCTTTCCCCACTTTCCCCCCATTTTTCCCCCCCCACCTTCCCTCTGGTTATGGTCAGATTGTTCTTAATTTCAGTGTCTCTGGTTATATTTTACCTGCTTGTTTGTTTTTGTTGTGTAGGTTCCAGTTAATGGTGAGATCATATGTTCCTTAGCGCCTGGCTTATTTCACTTAGCATAATGCTCTCCAGCTCCATCCATGCTGTGGCAAAGGGTAGGAGCTCCTTCTTTCTTCCTGCTGCATAGCATTCCATTGTGTAAATGTACCACTGTTTTTTGATCCATACCATTTACTGATGGGCACTTAGGTTTCTTCCAGCACTTGGCTATTGTAAACTGTCCTGCTATAAACATTAGGGTGCATAGGCTCTTTTGGATTGGCGTTTCAGGGTTCTTAGAATATACTCCCAGCAGTGGAATTGCCAGGTCAAAAGGCAGATCCACTTTTAGTTTTCTGAGGAAACTCCATACTGTTTTCCACAGTGGCTGCCCCAGTCTGCACTCCCACCAACAGTGCACTAGGGTTCCCTTTTCTCCACATCCTCTCCAACACTTGTTTGTTGATTTGTTTATGATGGCCATTCTCAGCAGTGTGAAGTGGTATCTCACTGTGGTTTTAATTCTTGTCTCTCTGATGGCTAGTGACACTGAGCATCTTTTCCTGTATCTCTGGGCCCTCTGTATGTCCCTCTTGGAGTAGTGTCTGTTCAAGTCTTTTGACCATTTTTAATAGACAGACACACAATCTTTTGATATGTGGGACGGCTCTCCAACCAACTGAGCCCTGGGGCCAGGGCTGAGCTCATTTTGTTTTTTAACAATGGGCATGTATCTGAGCTTGTTCTGACTTTGGTTTCTCTTCCAATTATTATTGGTCTCATTACTTGAGATTTTATATTCAAATTAGTGAATGTTTCTGATTTCATCTCCCAGAGTTCTGTGGCATTTATATTTTTTCTCTTAGTGTTTCTTCTGTTAGGGCATTCATAAAGAGCTACAGCCTGCAGCAATTACTCAAACACTAGGCAAGGTCCATGAATGTTACTGTTCAAATAACATCAGATTCACATCTCCTAGCAAGTGAAAATTTCCAGTTTAAGGACTGACTGTATTTCCAAAACATATTTCTTGAAACATCAATATAATTTGTATAAAACAGGCTGTATACACAAACTCACTAGCATTTACTTAGCAGCAGATGAGGCCGTGAACTCACACTTGAAATGTGACAAAGGCTTCAAGGTGATGATCCATGACACCCTCCTTCCTGCATCCTCCCACCCTGATTCCCCAAAATGCTGATCTTAACTTTGACCTCCATGTGTCAAAAGTTTCCAGCTCTTGCTCTTGATGTCACTGGGTTACTTTGTTATTTTCTTAAGTATATTTTGTTGATTATGCTATTACAGTTGTCCCACTTTTTCTCCCCTTTATCCCCCTCTGAGCTGCATCCACCTCCCGTCAACATCCCTGCCGCCTTAGTTCATGTCCATGAGTTGTACATGTAAGTTCTTTGGCTTCTCCATTTTCTAGACTTTTCTTTTTTTAAAATATATTTTATTGATTATGCTATACAGCTGTCCCATTGCCCCCCTTCACTCCCTTCCCCCCGCACACTCCCCCACCCACATTCCTCCACTTTAGTTCATGTCCATGTGTCATAAGTTCTTTAGCTTCTACATTTCCCATACTATTCTTGCCTTCCCCCTGTCTATTTTCTACCTACCATCTATGCTACTTATTCTCTGTACCTTTTCCCCCTCTCTCCTCCTCCCACTCCCCTGTTGCTAACCCTCCATGTGATCTCCATTTCTGTGGTTCTGTTCCTGTTCTAGTTGTTTGTTTAGTTTGCTTTTGTTTTAGGTATAGTTGTTAATAACTTTGAGTTTGCTGTCTTTTTACTGTTCATATTTTTTATCTTCTTTTTCTTAGATAAGTCCCTTTAATATTTCATATAATAAGGGCTTGGTGATGATGAACTCCTTTAACTTGACCTTATCTGAGAAGCACTTTATGTGCCTATTCATTCTAAATGAAAGCTTTGCTGGATAGAGCAATCTTGGATGTAGGTCCTGGCCTTTCATGACTTGGAACACGTCTTTCCAGCCCCTTCTTGCCTGCAAGGTCTCATTTGAGAAATCAGCTGACAGTCTGATGGGAACTCCTGTGTAGGTTACAGTCTCCTTATCTCTTGCTGCTTCTAGGATCCTCTCCTTCATTCTTACCTTGGGTAATGTAATTATGATGTGCCTGGGTGTGTTCCTCCTTGGGTCCAACTTCTTTGGGACTCTCTGAGCTTCCTGGACTTCCTGGAAGTCTATTTCCTTTGCCAGAATGGGGAAGTTCTCCTTTATTATTTGTTCAAATAAGTTTTCCATTTGTTGCTCTTGCTCTTCTCCTTCTGGTACCCCTATAATTCGATTGTTGGAACATTTCAAGATGTCTTGGAAGTTCTGAAGCCTCTCCTCATTTTTTTGAATTCTTGTTTCTCCAGTCTTTTCTGTTTGGTTGTTTTTTCCTTCCTTCTGGTCCACTTCATTGATTTCAGACCCAGTTTTCATCCCATCACTATTGGTTCCCTGTGTTTTTTCTTCATTTCAGTTAGTGTAGCCTTCATTTTTTCATCTAATTTGTGACCAAACTCAACCAATTCTCTGAGCATCCTGAACAGCAGTGCTTTGAACTGTGCATCTGATAGGTTGGCTATCTCTTGGTTGCTTAAAAGTATTGGCTCTGGAGCTTTGATTTGTTCTTTTGTTTGAGCCATTTTTTGGGAGGAGGGTCTGCTCATGCCTCTTATGTAGTAAGGAGTGGAGCATTAGGTGTTCACCCAGCAGGGCCACTGAGTTGCTGGGTTGTGACGCTGTATGTGGGGGTGGGGTCAGAGAGGGAACAATGGCACTTTCTCTATTCTCTGTCAGATTTCAGTCCCCTCTGCCACTTCCCACAAGCAAACTGGGCCTTTCTGGTGCTGGTTCCTGGGTGGGTGAGCTTGTGTACATTCTAAGACCCTGTGGGCCTCTCCAATGAACTCTCCTGTGAGGCTGGGAGTCTCCTCCAGCACCTCAACCTTCACAGGTGTTTTCAATCAGTGCTTTTAGGCTTTATTTCAAGGTCTGGGGCCCTGGGTTGCATGATCTGTCCCTCTGCCAATTTTCACCTGGTTCATCTGTACGAATGTGTGACTGCGGACAGCCAGGTGCCTTGCACACCTCACTGGGTCTGCTTGTTGCCTCCCCGCACCCATGCCCGGGGTCTGCCACCAGGGTCTCCTAGCCGCCGCCTGCACCCTGCATGCCCGTGTCTGCCGGCCACCATTTTTCCTGCTGTGACCCCTCTCTGCCAGGAGCAGACTCTGCCCCTCTTACTGGTCTGAATGAATGGTTGTTGGACTTCTATACAGTTCAATTTTCTGTCTGTTCTGGTTGTTTTTTTGTTTCTAAATTTTTCTTGTCCTTAATTTTGGTTGTGCGAGGAGGCAGTGTGTCCACCTACACCTCCATCTTAGCCAAAAGTCTCTACACTTTTCTTGACCTCCCCCTGTCTATTTTGTACCTACTGTTTAGGCTTCTTATTCCTTGTACCCTTTCCCCCATTCTTCCCCTCTGACTCGCCACTGATAGCCCTCCATGGGATCTCCATTTCTGTGATATTCTTCCTGTTCTAGTTGTTTGCTTAGTTTCTTTTTGCTTTTTAGTTTCAGTATTTGATTGTTGTGAGTTTGTTTTTATTTCACTGTTCATAGTTTGATCTTCTTTGTGGGAAGAACTCTGTCCAGCAACATGTTCCTCCCATCCACTGCAGATGAGAAATAAGTCATATCTGACACAATTTTGCTATTCCAGTGGGAAAGAGGGTAGCAATTCCCTCTAGTGGTGAAAGCCCCAAGCCCTTCTCTCAAGTGGCTTTTAGTGGGAATGGGATGTGTAGGTGTGTGCATGGAGAGTTCATCAATCATTGTCAAAAGGCTATAGTCATACAGAAACAGGTGTTACCTATAGCTAACAATTGAAGGAACACAGAGACCTGTCACAGGTCAGGGTCTGTTGGTCACAGTGACACCAGAGGGTCTTTAGGATGTGTTTCATGATATAAGGAGTTTACTTCTTATGCCTTGAACTTAAACATCTGGTTTGTCACCAGGGCCATACAAAATAAAGCACAGCCAGCTTCAAAGGATACAAGGTATTTATCAGGCTTGGTTCCTATGGGAATCCTCAGAGTTAGAGTCTGGTCATGCTGGCCACCTGCATTTCTACCTGGTTTCCCAGGGGGACTTACTAGTTCCTTTCAGGGCTTGTTGTCTCAAGGCCACAGTCTCAGAAACCACAGAGAGCAGTCTCCAACACTTATTCTTAAGTAAGTTTCTTTAATAGTTCATAGAATAAGGGCTTGGTGATGACGAACTCCTTTCAATTAACCTTATCTGGGAAGCACTTTACCTGCCCTTGGGAAATGCACCTTTGATTGATGTTCTGTTTGCTCTTGATCAGGCCCCAGACTTTTTGAGATTCCCTCTTAACTTACAAATTTTGGTCAAGCACAGAGGCAAGTGCTTTTGTCCAGCAGGAAAGACAATCCAAAAATACAGCTATATGGCCATATTGGATATTAGTCAGTTTTTAACTAAGTTTCAGAATGCCACCCCAGCTAACTGTGTAAAGCTCTATTCCTCAGATGGTCTTAGAATCAGTTTTATGGTTCCCTCATTAGTGGGTTCAGTACATCTGTGATACATACTCCATCTGTACTTGAATGAGTCATGTTTTTACTTTCTTAAAAAGGACTCTATGATATCTCCTTTTGAAAAACACACACATCCAAAGCTCAGCCATTCCTACATTTGCTTTTCCTCTTCCAGTTCAAGTACAGTCAAATTGGATACTTTTTATTGGTGCACAGCTTTTACACAGAACAGACCAGTACCTGTTGCTTTAGACAAAAGAATTCAGGCCAAGAATCTCCCAGAAGGTGATAAAGTAGAGGTGGGCACATTGTGTCTACTATTCATTCTTCTCAACCAACGGTTTTCCAGTATTGGCCAAGGCCAACTTCTTCATGCATTCCTGAACTCCATTAGCACTGGGGTGGAAACAGACCTTCTGACCCCCCTTGGTTTTGAAGCTGGGGAGCCAGGGAGAGAAAGATTATACAGTGAGGAGGGTTCTGCACATAAGGATGGGGAGCCCCATCCTCGCAGCCCCTGGGCTTCCCCACTCAGCCCATCCTTTTCCTCCCTTCTCTTCTGCAGGGTCTCAGGTGGTATCCTCTGGGAGACCCTGCTTCTGACACCCCCTCAGTGACTCAGGGGGGTGTCCCGGGCAACCTTGCTCCTGCACTACCCACTGCTCCCTAGCCTCCCTCTTCACTGGGAGCATGTGGTATCTGATGCTCTGGGGATTCTTAGTGACAACATAAGCCTCCAGCAACATCACAGCATCTAGACGGTGAGACTTTTTCCGACCTCCCTGTGTCATCAGTAGATCTCCTACCCAAAGACATGGCTGGTAGGCTTGGCACTTACATGACACCAGGCTGGGAGCACCCACTGGTTGTTAGATAATAATCCTTCATGAATATGCATCGGATATCTCGTGCAGTGTAGGACAAGCAGCAGTCACCTGGGCGGTGCACACCTGTAGCAGGAGAAAGGTCCATGTAAGGACAGAACCCCTTTCTCAGGAAACTACATCCTTTCCCCTTTTTCTCCAGAGACAGGGGAGGGTGTGAAGGGGAAGAACTACAAAGTATGATTTCCTCCTCTGCAGCACCTGCTGTCATCTCCTTGCTCCCCCACCCAGAGTTGAGTGTGCACCCAGGCAGGGCTAGGACCACTCCTCCCAGAAGTGGAAGGTCTGATGCTGCAGGAGGCATCAGAGAGCACCACCTCCCCAAGGTCAGCAGACTGCAGGACAGCCAGGTGGGAGAGAGGTCGTGTATGGGGAGGGACCCACAGTGCACCATGGTCTCCCTTGGAGATCTTCTTCCCCCATCCCCATGTCTTGTAAAGGAGGAGGACTGAAGCCACTGAGCACATCTGTACCCACCAGCTGCTTTTACATGCATGCCACCACGAAACATTAGCTCTTTGGTCTATTAAGGATTGGTCCCAGTCATGTATGGCCAACCCGAGTTGTAGTGGGAGAAAGAGACAGGAGGGAAGAGGAATCACTGGGAGGCAGCACTGTGTCGGTCTCTGCCTGTGTCACCCCAGCCCAGCCCCCGGGTGGGGCGGCATTGCTGCTGGACACGGGGTGCCTGTGCGGGTTCTGGGCCTGCCTTCCGGCCAGTTGTCTCACTGGCACCCTGAGATGTTTGAGGAAACTTCTGAAAATGAGACATGAAAATGTTCTATTGACTTCCTTTTTTTCCTATTGACTTTAAGTACAAAAGCAAACTGCAGATGCCACCTGGATAAATCAGTCACACAGTCACACCATGTGACATAGTCCACAACATGCTTTCTGCACATTTCTGGGACCCACAGGGCTCCGGAAACAGAAAGATGTTTCATTAAAGGATTTGGTGGCACAGTGTCACCCAAAGTGAGGTGAGGCTATTTATAGTCTTTGTCTCATTAGTGTAAATATATGTGTGTGTTTCCTGCAGAAATGTTACTGTTTGATTCAAGTATGCTTCCCAGAGTCTGCCAGGACTATTGGGAATCTCCAGTTACGTGTTAACTTTGAAAAATATTTTTATTTTTTGAACATGTGTTAAAATATACATAATATAAAATGTACAATTTTGACCTTTCTTTTCTGTCTTGGAGCTCTGACTCTGTGCCCTACAGGGATCTAGACCCACCCAGTACATGCAGGGTGGGGCAGAAGTGGGTGTACAGGGGTTTGTGTGGAAAATACTAGAATAATTAAGAAACAACAATACAAGAATAAGTCTGTGTTTCGCACACTCACAACTGTGAAGACACTTTCATCACCCCCTGTAGTTATCAGGGGAATGAATGGCAAAGAGTTCTGGGGGGGACTGTGAGGGGCTCGCCCATCAGATAGCACAAGGGGGAAATGCCAGCAAAGCCATAAACACAGTCAGGATTCTTTCAGGCTCAGAGGAAGAACAGAAGCTGTGTACTGTAGACCAGAGTCACCAAATGTTAACCGTTTCCCAATGCACAGTTTGGGAGCATGAAGGACATTCGCATACTGTACAACTGTAACCACAGACTGTCCACGGGGCTTTATACATCTCGTAAAATTGCACCTCTGACCCAACTACACAGTGATCCCCCAATCCCTCCGTCCCCCAGCCCCCGGCCACCACCATTCTACTCTCTGTCTCTCTGACTCGGCTGTTTTCAGTGCCTCCTGTCAGTGGAATCAGACAGTGTTCACCCTTTGTTACTGGCTCATCTCACTGATCATAACGTCGAGTGCAGACCTGTGCTCACTGTTCCTCCATGTGGGAACATGTGTCCCAGTTTCTGTCCTTTTCGGGTAAATAATATTCTACTGTGTGTACAACATATTCCCCACTTTGAATCCATTCATCTGTGCATGGATACTTGGGGCGCTTCCCCCCATGGTGTGTTAGGAATGATGCAGCTGTTAGCATGGGCGTACCGGCAGCTCCATCATACCTGCTTCCACTTCTTTTGGGCGTGCATCCAGAAGTGGAGTTCCAGTGATATTGTATCATCTTTTTCAAACCTGAAAGACTCTGCATTTCAAAGTGCACCTAGCTCCCATGTTCTGGACAAGGGATTGCAGGCCTGCATTATGCTAGTTAGGCAAATGCACTGAATGTTGGCTCATTTCTTATGCAGTTACATATGAGTTATGTTCAATGAGGTACGTGCGTATCCTCCAGTGTGCTTGATATGCTGCATGTGGGGCTGGCAAAATACAGTCTTAAATGGACTTAACTTTGCATAACAGCTTCCTAGCTAGAGCATACCCTAACTCCACCACTCACTGGCTGTAGGATCTGAGCAAGTTATCTAAGGCCTCTGTGCCTCAGGTTCCCATGTGTAAAATGAGACTAATAATAATAATGGGCAAAACCATGGCAGTTGCTGGTAGTCTATTCCACAGGGTTGTTAGGAGGATTCAGTGCATTAATACGTATAAGAGAATTAGAGTAGTTTCTGCTTGTACAGGGCAGATTGTACAAGGCAGTGTTAGATACTCATTTGTTAGTAAGACAGTAGAATGGTTAGGGGGACTTGGGTGAGTCACTAGCCTGGCATGTCCCATCTCCTCTTCAAACTGATGATTGTGCAGTGCATGGGGTACCCTGGTTCAACACTGGAGGAAAATATGCTTCTTTTCCCAAGTTTACAATTTGCTACAACTCTTTTGCTCAAGCACATAATGGTCCCATACCAGCTAAGAGTAGGTATCATGTAATTCTGGCCATAAAAAGGGAAGAGAATTGTTTCCCAAGTCATCGGTGCACACTTTTCCCCAGGGACCAAAGTCCACAGGGAAAGGTCCACACCCTCCTGCTGCTGCTTTTAAGCAAGTGCCAAATTCACCTCCAAGTCCCTCTGTGTCTCCTCCCTGGACTTCAGGTTACCACCGAACTGGCCACCAGTGCGAAGGCTCACTGAACTTACCATGGTTCAGGGATAGGGATCCACCACCGGGGCCGGCTCCATGGGTCGACGGTCCAAGGGCAGCAGCAAGGATGAGGAAGAGGAGGCCAACTGCGGAGATCTTCATCTTCCAGGTGTGCGGGCAGAGCTGGCCTGAGTGCTCCTGGGCTCTCTTCTCCTGACTCCCTGGGATCCCAGCCCTGCCCTGTTGTTTATGAGAAGAGGAGAATCAGGAAGTCACAGGGCAGAGGTCAATAGATTCCCCTTTGGCTATACAGTTGGCAACACATTTCTTATAAGGGAACCAGTCTGGGAATGCAAGAGGAAGTTGAGGGCCACAATGACTTGGGGTTTTTCTCAGCTGGCCAGTGGATGTAGGCAGAAGTGTCAAAATTTCAGTCAGAGGGTCTCAGCCAGGACAGGGGTCGGGGGACCCTGTGGCATGAGCTCTCCCATCCTCTGAGGGTCGTGGAAGTGCTACAGGGAGAAGTGCAGGTGGACCAGAGAGCTCTCTGGGGAACTGTTCTTCCCCTTGTCAAAGAGCTCCCTCCTTCTTCTTGCTCTCTGTGTGTAAATGTCATGTCTGCAAGCGCCAGGTTGTGATGCTTACTTTTCCCCAAATGAATCCTTTTTGTGGAGGGAATACCTAGTCGACTTTTTGTTTATGGTAGGCAAGAGTGGCCATATTTTTTTTAATTTTATTTATTTTTTAAAATCTCAATTGATCATATGTTTATTGGCTTGAAAGATGGAGAGAGAGAGTGAGAGGAAGAAACATTGATGTGTGAGAGAAACTTCAATCAATTGCCTGCGTTATGTATCTCAAGCAGAGATCAAACACGCAATCTTTTCTGTAATTTTTATTTTATTGTTGTTCCATTATAGTTGTCTGCCTTTCCCCCCACCACTCTCCACCCACCCCTGCCATCCCCACCTCCCTCACTTGCTTCCATCCCTCCTTGGTTTTGTCCATGTGTCCTTTATAGTTGTTCCTGAAAACCCTTTCCCCACTTTCCCCCCATTTTTCCCCTCCCACCTTCCCTCTGGTTATGGTCAGATTGTTCTTAATTTCAGTGTCTCTGGTTATATTTTACCTGCTTGTTTGTTTTTGTTGTGTAGGTTCCAGTTAATGGTGAGATCATATGTTCCTTAGCGCCTGGCTTATTTCACTTAGCATAATGCTCTCCAGCTCCATCCATGCTGTGGCAAAGGGTAGGAGCTCCTTCTTTCTTCCTGCTGCATAGCATTCCATTGTGTAAATGTACCACTGTTTTTTGATCCATTCATTTACTGATGGGCACTTAGGTTTCTTCCAGCACTTGGCTATTGTAAACTGTCCTGCTATAAACATTAGGGTGCATAGGCTCTTTTGGATTGGCGTTTCAGGGTTCTTAGAATATACTCCCAGCAGTGGAATTGCCAGGTCAAAAGGCAGATCTACTTTTAGTTTTCTGAGGAAACTCCATACTGTTTTCCACAGTGGCTGCCCCAGTCTGCACTCCCACCAACAGTGCACTAGGGTTCCCTTTTCTCCACATCCTCTCCAACACTTGTTTGTTGATTTGTTTATGATGGCCATTCTCAGCAGTGTGAAGTGGTATCTCACTGTGGTTTTAATTCTTGTCTCTCTGATGGCTAGTGACACTGAGCATCTTTTCCTGTATCTCTGGGCCCTCTGTATGTCCCTCTTGGAGTAGTGTCTGTTCAAGTCTTTTGACCATTTTTAATAGACAGACACACAATCTTTTGATATGTGGGACGGCTCTCCAACCAACTGAGCCCTGGGGCCAGGGCTGAGCTCATTTTGTTTTTTAACAATGGGCATGTATCTGAGCTTGTTCTGACTTTGGTTTCTCTTCCAATTATTATTGGTCTCATTACTTGAGATTTTATATTCAAATTAGTGAATGTTTCTGATTTCATCTCCCAGAGTTCTGTGGCATTTATATTTTTTCTCTTAGTGTTTCTTCTGTTAGGGCATTCATAAAGAGCTACAGCCTGCAGCAATTACTCAAACACTAGGCAAGGTCCCATGAATGTTACTGTTCAAATAACATCAGATTCACATCTCCTAGCAAGTGAAAATTTCCAGTTTAAGGACTGACTGTATTTCCAAAACATATTTCTTGAAACATCAATATAATTTGTATAAAACAGGCTGTATACACAAACTCACTAGCATTTACTTAGCAGCAGATGAGGCCGTGAACTCACACTTGAAATGTGACAAAGGCTTCAAGGTGATGATCCATGACACCCTCCTTCCTGCATCCTCCCACCCTGATTCCCCAAAAATGCTGATCTTAACTTTGACCTCCATGTGTCAAAAGTTTCCAGCTCTTGCTCTTGATGTCACTGGGTTACTTTGTTATTTTCTTAAGTATATTTTGTTGATTATGCTATTACAGTTGTCCCACTTTTTCTCCCCTTTATCCCCCTCTGAGCTGCATCCACCTCCCGTCAACATCCCTGCCGCCTTAGTTCATGTCCATGAGTTGTACATGTAAGTTCTTTGGCTTCTCCATTTTCTAGACTTTTCTTTTTTTAAAATATATTTTATTGATTATGCTATACAGCTGTCCCATTGCCCCCCCCTTCACTCCCTTCCCCCGCACACTCCCCCCACCCACATTCCTCCACTTTAGTTCATGTCCATGTGTCATAAGTTCTTTAGCTTCTACATTTCCCATACTATTCTTGCCTTCCCCCTGTCTATTTTCTACCTACCATCTATGCTACTTATTCTTTGTACCAGCTCCCCCTCTCTCCTCCTCCCACTCCCCTGTTGCTAACCCTCCATGTGATCTCCATTTCTGTGGTTCTGTTCCTGTTCTAGTTGTTTGTTTAGTTTGCTTTTGTTTTAGGTATAGTTGTTAATAACTTTGAGTTTGCTGTCTTTTTTACTGTTCATATTTTTCTATCTTCTTTTTTCTTAGATAAGTCCCTTTAATATTTCATATAATAAGGGCTTTGGTGATGATGAACTCCTTTTAACTTGACCTTATCTGAGAAGCACTTTATGTGCCTATTCATTCTAAATGAAAGCTTTGCTGGATAGAGCAATCTTGGATGTAGGTCCTGGCCTTTCATGACTTGGAACACTTCTTTCCAGCCCCTTCTTGCCTGCAAGGTCTCATTTGAGAAATCAGCTGACAGTCTGATGGGAACTCCTGTGTAGGTTACAGCCTCCTTATCTCTTGCTGCTTCTAGGATTCTCTCCTTCATTCTTACCTTGGGTAATGTAATTATGATGTGCCTTGGTGTGTTCCTCCTTGGGTCCAACTTCTTTGGGACTCTCTGAGCTTCCTGGACTTCCTGGAAGTCTATTTCCTTTGCCAGAATGGGGAAGTTCTCCTTTATTATTTGTTCAAATAAGTTTTCCACCTGTTGCTCTACCTCTTCTCCTTGTGGTACCCCTATAATTTGGATGTTGGAATGTTTCAAGATGTCCTGGAGGTTCCAGAGCTTCTCCTCATTTTTCTGAATTCTTATTTCTTCATTGTTTTCTGATTGTATATTTTTTTCTTCCTTCTGGTCCATTTCACTGATTTGGGACCCAGTTTTCTGTCCATTATTATTGGTTCCCTGTGCATTTTTCTTCATTTCACTTAGTGTAGCCTTCATTTTTTCATCTAATTTGCAACCAAAATCAACCAACTCTGAGCATCCTGATCACCAGTGCTTTGAACTGTGCATCTGATAGGTTGGCTATCTCTTGGTTGCTTAAAAGTATTGGCTCTGGAGCTTTGATTTGTTCTTCTGTTTGAGCCTTTTTTTGGGGGGTGGGGGGTCTGGTCGGGCCTGTTATGTTTTGAGAGTGGAGCCTTAGGTGTTCCCTTGGGTGGGGCAACCCAGTGGCTGGGTTCTGACGTATCTAGGGGTGGGGTAGAGAGGGAACAATGGCACTTGCTCTGCTCTCTGCGGATTTCAGTCCCCTCTGCTGCTTCCCACAAGGAAACTGGGCCTTTCTGGTGCTGGTTCCCGGGTGGGTGGGCTGGGTACATTCTAGGACCCTGTGGGCCTCTCCAATAAACTCTCCTGTGAGGCTGGGAGTCTCCCCCAGCACCTGAGCGTCCACAGGTGTTTTCAATCAGTGCTTTTAGGCTTTATTTCCCAGCACTGGGGCCCTGGGTTGCGTGGTCTGTCCCTCTGCCCATTTTCACCTGGTTTATCTGCGCAAATGTGTGACTGCAGACAGCCAGCTGCCTTACGCTCCTCACTGGGTCTGCTCATTGCCTCCACGAGCCCACGCCTGGGGTCTGCCACCAGGGTCTCCTAGCCACCTGCACCCCATACCCCGGGGTCTGCCAGCCACCGTTTTTCCTGCTGCAACCCCTCTCCACCAGTTGTGGACTCTGCCTCTCTTACTGGTCTGAATGAATGGTTGTTAGACTTCTGTACAGTTCAATTTTCTGTCTGTTCTGGTTGTTTTTTTGTTTCTAAATTTTTCTTGTCCTTAATTTTGGTTGTGCGAGGAGGCAGTGTGTCCACCTATGCCTCCATCTTAGCCAAAAGTCTCTATACTTTTCTTACCCTCCCCCTGTCTCTTTTGTACCTACTGTTTAGGCTTCTTATTCCTTGTACCCTTTCCCCCATTCTTCCCCTTCTGACTCGCCACTGATAGCCCTCCATGGGATCTCCATTTCTGTGATATTCTTCCTGTTCTAGTTGTTTGCTTAGTTTCTTTTTGCTTTTTAGTTTCAGTATTTGATTGTTGTGAGTTTGTTTTTATTTCACTGTTCATAGTTTGATCTTCTTTTTGGGAGGAACTCTGTCCAGCAACATATTCCTCCTGTCCACTGCAGATGAAAAATAAATCATCTCGGACACAATCTTGCTGTTCCAGGGAGAAAGAGGGTGGCAATTCCCTCTAGTGGTGAATGCCCCAAGCCCTTCTCCCAAGTGGGTTTTAGTGGGAATGGGATGTGTAGGTGTGTGCATGGAGAGCTCATCAATCATTGTCAAAAGGCTATAGTCATACAGAAACAGGTATTATCTATAGCTAACAATTGAAGGAACACAGTGACCTGTAGCAGGTCAGGGTCTGTTGGTCATACTGAAGCCAGAGGGTCTTTAGGATGTATTTCATGAGATAAGGAGTTTACTTCTTATGCCTTGAACTTAAACATCCAGTTTATATCACCAGGGCCATACAAAATAAAGCACAGCCAGCTTCAAAGCATACAAGGTATTTATCAGGCTTGATTCCTATGGGAACCCTTAGAGTTACAGTTCAGTCATGCTTGCCACCTGTGTTTCTACCTGGTTTTCCAGAGAGACTTACTAGCTCCTTTCAGGGCTTGCTCTCCAGGGGCCACAGTCTCGGAACCCATGCAGAGTGATCCCCAACACTTATTCTTAGATAAGTCCCTTTAACAGTTCATAAAATAAGGGCTTGGTGATAATGCACTCCTTTAACTTCGCCTTATCTGAGAAGCACCTTACCTGCCCCTGGGAAATGCCCTTTTGATTGATGTTCTGTTTACTCTGGATCAGGCCCCAGACTTTCTGAGATTACCTGTGAACTTACAAATTTTGTCTAGAGCAGATGCAAGTGTTTTTGTACAGCAGAAAAGACAATCTAAAAGTTATAGCTATATTGCCATATTGGATATTAGTCAGTTTTTAACTAAGTTTCAGAATGCCACCCCAGCTAACTGTGTAAAGCTCTATTCCTCAGATGGTCTTAGAATCAGTTTTATGGTTCCCTCATTAGTGGGTTCAGTACATCTGTGACACATACTCCATCTGTACTTGAATGAGTCATGTTTTTCCTGTCTTCAAAAGGACTCTATGATGTCTCCTTTTGAAAAGCACACAAATCCAAAGCTCAGCCATTCCTATGTTTGCTTTTCCTCTTCCAGTTCAAGTACAGTCAAATTGGATACTTTTTATTGGTGCACAGTTTTTTCAGAGAACAGACCAGTACCTGTTGCTTTTGACAAAAGAATTCAGGCCAAGAAACTACCAGAAGGTGAGAAAGTAAAGATGGGTGAGTTGCATCTAGTATTCATTCTCCTCAACCAACTGTTTTCTGGTATTGGCCAACTTCTTCAAGCATTCCTGAACTCCATTAGCACTGGGGTGGAAACAGACCTTCTGACCCCTCCTGGTTTTGAAGCTGGGGAGCCAGGGAGAGAAAGATTATACAGTGAGGAGGGTTCTGCACATAAGGATGGGGAGCCCCATCCTCGCAGCCCCTGGGCTTCCCCACTCAGCCCCACTGTTCCTCCCTTCTCTTCTGCAGGGTCTCAGGTGGTCTCCTCTGGAAGACCCTGCCTCTGACACCCCCTCAGTGACTCAGGGAGGTGTCCCGGGCAACCTTGCTCCTGCACTACCCACTGCTCCCTAGCCTCCCTCTTCACTGGGAGCATGTGGTATCTGATGCTCTGGGGATTCTTAGTGACAACATAAGCCTCCAGCAACATCACAGCATCTAGACGGTGAGACTTTTTCCGACCTCCCTGTGTCATCAGTAGATCTCCTACCCGAAGACATGGCTGGTAGGCTTGGCACTTACATGACACCAGGCTGGGAGCACCCACTGGTTGTTAGATAATAATCCTTCATGAATGTGCATCGGATATTTCGTGTGGTGTAGGACAAGCAGCAGTCACCTGGGCGGTGCACACCTGTAGCAGGAGAAAGATCCATGTAAGGACAGAGCCCCTTTCTCAGGAAACTACATCCTTTCCCCTTTTTCTCCAGAGACAGGGGAGGGTGTGAAGGGGAAGAAGTGTAAAGGGGCAATTTCCTCCTCTGCAGCACCTGCTGGCATCTCCTTGCTCCACTGCCCGGGGTTCAGTGTGCACCTGGGCAGGGCCAGGACCACTCCTCCCAGAAGTGGATGTTCTGATGCTGCAGGAGGTGTCAGAGAGCTCCTTCTCCCCAAGGTCAGCAGACTGTAGGACAGCCAGGTGGGAGAGTGGTCAGGTATGGGGAGGGACCCACAGTGCACCCTGGTGTCCCTTGGAGATATCCCCTCCCTCTTTCCCCATGTCCTGTTAACGAGGAAGACTGAAGTCACTGAGCACATCTGTACCCACCAGCTGCTTTTACATCCATGCCACCACGAAACATTAGCTCCAAGTATGCTTCCCAGAGTTTGCCTGTTCGTAACTGGACTGTTAGGAATGTCCAATTCTGTGTTAACTTTGAAAAATAATTTTATTTTTTGAACATGTCTTAAAATATACATAATATAAAATGTACAATTTTGACCTTTATTTTCTATCCTGGAGCTCCGACTCCGTGCTCTACAGGGATCTAGACCCACCAAGTACATGCAGGGTGGGGCAGAAGTGGGTGTACAGGGGTTTGTGTGGAGAATAGTACAATAATTAAGAAATAACAATACAAGAATAAACTCTGTGTTTCACTGACTCACAACTGTGGACGTACTCTCATCACCCCCTGTAGTTGTCAGGGGAATGAATGGCAAAGAGACCTGGGGGGACTCTGAGGGGCTTGCCCATCAGATAGCACAAGGAGGAAATGCCAGCAAAGCCAGAACAGTCAGGATTCTTTCAGGCTCAGAGGAAGAACAGAAGCTGTGTACTATAGACCAGGGTGATCAAACGTTAACCGTTTTCCAATGCACAGTTTGGGAGCATGAAGGACATTCCCATATTGTACAGCTCTAACCACAGACTGTCCATGGGGCTTTATTCATCTTGTAAAATTGCACCTCTGATCCAACTAGACGGTGACTCCACACCCCCGTCCCCCAGCCCCCGGCCACCACCATTCTATTTTCTGTCTCTCTGACTTGGCTGCTTTCAGTGCCTCCTGTCAGCGGAATCAGACAATGTTCACCCTTTGTTACTGGCTCATCTCACTGATCATAACGTCGGGTGCAGACCTGTGCTCACTGTTCCTCCGTGTGGTAGCATGTGTCCCAGTTTCTGTCCTTTTTAGCTGAATAATATCCTACTGTGTGTACAAGATATTCCCCACTTTGAATCCATTCATTTGTTGATGGATACCTCAGGTGCTTCCCCCCATGGTGTGTTAGGAATGATGCAGCTGTTAGCATGGGCGTACCAGCATCTCCCAGGTACCTGCTTCCACCTCTCTCAAGTGTGTACCCAGAAGTAGAGGTGCTGGTGATACTGTGTCACCATTTTCAAACCTGAAGGATTCTGCATTGCAAAGTGCACCTAGCCCCCGTGTTCTGAACAAGGGATTGCAGGGCTGCATTATGCTAGTTAGGCAAATGCACTGAACTGTTGGCTCATTTCTTATGCAGTTACATATGAGTTATATTTAATGAGGCACATGTGTACTCTCCAGTGTGCTTGATATGATGCGTGTGGGGCTGGCAAAATAAAGTCTTATATGGACTTGTTTTTTTTAAATAACAAGTTTCCTAACTTGATCATACCCTAACTCCACCACTCACTGGCTGTAGGATCAGAGAGCAAGTTATCTAAGGCCTCTGTGCCTCAGGTTCTCGTGTGTAAAATGAGACTAATAATAATAATGTGCAAAACCATGGTAGTTGATGGTAGTCAATTCCACAGGGTTGTTAGGAGGACTCAGTGTATTAATATCCATAAGACAATTAGAGTAGTTTCTGCTTGGACAGGGCAGATTGTACAAGGCAGTGTTAGATACTCATTTGTTAGTAAGTCAGTGGAATGGTTAGGGGGACTTGGGTGAGTCACTAGCCCGGCGTGTCCCATCTCCTCTTCAAACTGATGATTGTGCAGTGCATGGGGTGCCCTAGCTCAACATTGGAGGAAAATATGCTTCTTTTCCCAAGTTCACCATTTGCTACAACTCTTTTGCTCAAGCACATAACGGCCCCATATAAGCCAAGATAAGGTGTCAGATAATTCTGGCCTTGAAAAGGGAAGAGAATTGTTTCCCAAGTCATCTGTGCACACTTTTCCCCAGGGACCAAGGCCACAGGGAAAGGTCCACACCCTCCTGCTGCTGCTTTTAAGCAAGTGCCAAATTCACTTCCACAGTCCTCTGTGTCTCCTCCCTGGACTTCAGGTTATCACCGAACTGGCCGTCAGTGTGAAGGCTCAGTGACTCACCACGATCCGGAGATCGATTCTTCAGAGATGCCTGGGCAGGGGGTCCAAGGTGAGCAGCAAGGATGAGGAAGAGGAGGGCAGCTGTGGAGATCTTCATCTTCCAGGTGTGCGGGCAGAGCTGGCCTGAGTGCCCCAGGCTCTCTGCTCCTGACTCCCTGGGACCCCAGCCCTGCCCTTGGGTTTATGAGGAGAGGAGAATCAGGAAGTCACAGGGTAGAGGTGAAGAGATTGCCTGTTGCCTATATAGTTGGCAATACGTTTCTCATGAGGGAACCAGTCTGGAAATGCAACAGGAAATTGAGGGCAATTATGGCTTGAGGTTATCTCAGCTGCCCAATGGATGTAGGCAGAAGTGTCAAAATTTCAGACAGAGGCCTCATCCAAGACAGGGGTCGGGGGAACCTGTGGCAGCAGCTCTCCCATCCTCTGAGGGTGGTGGAAGTGCTACAGGGAGAAGTGCAGGTGGACCAGAGAGCTCTCTGGGGAACTGTTCTTCCCCTTGTAAAGCAGCTCCCTGCTTCTTCTTGCTCTCTGTGTGTGAATGTCATGTCTGCAAGCACCAGGTTGTGATGCTTACTTTTCCCCAAATGAATCCTCCTTGTGGAGGGAATACCTATTGGACTTTTTGTTTATGGTAGACAAGAGTGAGCATATTTCATTTTTTTAATCTCACCTGTGGATATATTTATACATTTGCTAGAGGGTGAGAGAAAGGCATTGACGTGAGGGAGAAACCAAATGAATTGCCTATTTTATATGTCCTGTGTAAGGACCAACCAGGCAACCTTTTGACGTGTGGAGCAGCTCTCCCACCAATTGAGTCTTGGAGTCAGGGCTGAGCTCACTTTGTCTTTTAATGATGGACATGTGTGTGTGTGCTTGTTCTAACTTTGGTTTCTGTTCCAATATTATCTCTTTTACCAATTTAGATTTATATTCAAATTAGTGAATGTTTCTTGTTTCATCCTCCAGTATTCCATGATGTTTACATATTTTCTGTTAGTGTTTCTTTTGTGAGGTCATTGGTAAAGAGCTGTCGCCTGTAGCAATGACTCAAACTCTGGGCAGTGTCCGTGAACATTATTGTTCAAATAACATCCGATTCACTTCTCCTAGCAAGTTGAAATTACCAGTTTAAGGACTTCCTTTACTTCCAAAACATATTTCTTGAAACATCAATATGATTTTTTTCAAACAGGGTAAATATACAAACTCACTAACATTTGCTTAGCAGCAGACGGGGCCCTGACCATGGCAAAGACCTCAAGCGGATGGACCGTGACCTCTTCCTTCCTGCGTCCTCCCTCCCGGATTCCCCCACATGCCGATCTTAACTTTGATCTCCATGGGTGAAAAATTTCTGACTCTTGTTCTTGATGTCATTGGATTACTTTCCATCAATATCATCTTTATGATGGATAAACTTTAATTCCTCCAGAATTGTAACTCTTTTCCCTATTTTCACAGTTTCTGAATGGAATTTTCTTGAGACTTGGGATTTGGGAAAACATCAAATTCTCTAAGAAATGCTGGGAAGTTATTCCCCCGTGGAAGTGCTGGTGGATGCCTGGGGTGGGGGGAGGGGGAGGGGGTGGGGGTGGGACCCCGGTTCCCTGGGGCCTCAGGGTGAGGGGTTGGCAGGGGGAGGAGCCGAGCCTCTGCCTAGGAAGCTGGAACGCTGAACTTGTGCTTGTTTGTGCTCCTGGAAGCTGCCTGACTCCAGGCAGGACACTCAGCCTTTCTGAACCTGTCTCTTTAAAATGGCAAATAGCATCGATGGGGCAAGTAGCATGCACTCTCATCTGTGCATCCTTGATTGTTTTGTGCGATAAAGGCCTTGTTTCCCCCCGTGTGACAGACGAGGAAGCCGAGGCTCAGGAAGCCTGCACGGGGCCTGGCAGAGGCCTCGACTGATGGGTGCGGAGCCTCCAGGCAGGGGGTCCCTGGTGGCAGAAGCCGGTGTTCCTGCGCACCCCTGGATTCCAGCACGTCCACCACATGGGTGGTTCAGAGTGGGCTTTTACTATGCATTTGTTGAATGAATGGATGAATGAATGAATGTGAATTCAGTTCAGACTTGTGTCTTTCTGACTGTAAAGCCAATTATTGCTCCATTTTGTTGTGCTGTTCTCCGGAGAAAAAAATAAAAAGATTCCGTTTGTTCACTCTCCGCCGCCACAGGCCTGGTGCAAGGCTTCCTTCCTGACTTACCTCTGTTCCTCACAACCACCCCCTGGGGAAGCATCCGTTACCCCGTTTGCAGGCAGAGAGGTTTTGCGATAACCGGAATTATGGGAAAGCATTAAGGAGCTCTGTAGCTGGTCGCAGTCAAAAGTCCTGTGAAATTGTTCTCATTCCTTGGACCAGCAGGGATGGCCAACGAGAGGCCGGGGACCCAGCAGTTTTCCATCTCTGAATCTGGTTGAAATTCAACTCAGGAGAGTTGAGATTCAAGAAATCTCCTCCCAGGACCCCCCTTGTTCCACTTTCTCCCCTGGCCCCAGCCCCCAGCAGAGAGGCAACCAGGCCTGTTTAGGGTGGGAAGGGCAGTGAGCTGGGAATCGGGCATCTGGGGTCAACCCCTGCCTCCTTCGGAGTCACCTGCTGCTAACTCTTCTTGTGTCCCACAGATATTTATTGAGACTTTCTACCTGCCAGGAGGGGGTCTATGCCATATCCACACCTGGACAGATCTTAGAGGGAAAGGAGAGAGGCTGACACTGGGGCCCCAGCCTCACGGGCCCGCCAGGCCAGGCGGACAGCAGCAGGGTGGGGCCCGGCAGCAGGAGCTCCTGGGCCCTGGGGAGGGTGCCCCTGTCCAAAGGAACAGCCCTCTCCACCTTAGTTCAAGGTTACCTTGTGGAACTCTGGTTCAGGACTGCTTGGCTTTCCGTATTTGCAAAAGGAATTGGCACTGCAGAGTCTTAAATGTTTTCAATTTGTAAAGGTTGGCAACTGAGTCAAACCCCAACCCAATTGTAAAACCCCATTTGAGCCCCAAGAACAGCTTGATCCTTTGAGGTTTCCTCTCCCCCAACCTACGCTGACATGCGGCTCCTGTGCATCCCCAGGAGGTGGCTGAGCAGATGTTCTGGAAGGCTCTGGATTAACTGCTCTGTGGTGGGACCCCAAGGGCCAGGGAGGCTCTACGAGGGGGCAGGTTTTCCTCTCCCTGGAGGAGGGAGAAGTGAGTCCTGCCCAGGAATGGGGTGAGGCTCCTGGTGAAGGTGCTCTTTATTCTCCAGGGGCTCCCCGAGCTAGGAGAGCCAGGCCGACTCTCGTCCTTCTGGTGGATGACCAGCTGCAGGAATGGAGCCGGGCTGAAGACTGCTGGGTTCTCCGACTCCTTGAAGTCTGGGCTCTGAGCCTCCTTTATGTGACAGGTTACTGGTCAGGAAGTCACAAGACAGAAAAATCCACGATTGCAGGAGCGTTTTGTTTGCTGAGTTGTGACTGTTGACACAACTAATATTGGTTTAATCAAAGAAAAGTAGGAGGCAGAGAATGACCCTAGGTTTCACATTCGGTGTGCACCTTGAGGGTAGTAGTGGGGGGAGCCCGGAGACCAAGGGCTTTGTGGTGGAAAGTGCCCTCCACTCCTGCCCTCCCCAGAGAACCTGGTTAGGCCTCTGCAGTGAGCCCATCCTCAGGTGTGGACGGTGGGTTCAGAGGCCTGGTCCACTCTTTCAGGCTTAGCAACTGCAGGCCTCAACAGGATAGGCATGTGGACTCAGGTCTGATGGGGGCTGGGAGCAGGGAGAAGGGTCTGCAGGGGATCCTGGAATGGATGGCCTCACCAGCTCGGATTGGACTGGAACACCTCACCTAAGCTGAAGGCCTCCACCCCTTGCCCAGCACAGGGAGCTCGTTCAGGTCCTTAGCAACCAAGAAAGGTGCACGGGGCTCTCTGCTCTGTCAGGACTGCACTGGGGCTTGGGGCTGAGGGACAAGTTCCTTCTGGGTCAGGCTGGGGGGACCAGAGGTGGGACGGTGAGGCTGTGCCCTGCAGTTTGTGCCAGGACAGATCACAGGTGTTTTCATCCCTTCCCTTCTCTGGAGATGACCAGGGATAGTACCCACTGACACAGCTCCCGGGGGTATCATTCACAGGCAGTGATCAGATCTGTGCTGCCTGGAACACAGTTCCATAGAATACAATGATATTTTGTCACCCTCCAGTTCGGGCTGCAGGGTCCCTGTGCAGTGACACAATGGTTTGGTGACTGGGAGGTATTGTGATCCACCATCTTCGTCTGCCTGGGATGAAGGGGGTTCCTGGAATGTGGTGTTGTGGGAGAAACCTGGTTCTTCTTGCTGACGCAGGAAAGAATTACAGATCAGCAAGCCTATTAGCATGCAAGCAAAGTTCATTAGTGCTATGTTCTCATGGAAGAGAATGGGCCTTGCAAAAGTGGGTGGAGGGGAGGCAAGAGCAGGGGTAGTAAGAGCAAGGATGGCAAAAGCAAGGGTGGCCAGAGGCCAGGTTTTTCCCATTAACAGTGGGACTTTCAGTGCTAACACGGAGAGGAGTTGGTCACCCTACTGGGAAGTTGGATAGACATGGCTATCTGCCACCTCCACTCCCACAAAATTCAGATTAAGCAATTGTGGGTTTTTTTCTCCAAAAACATTCTTTGTGGTAAATACACATCATATAATATTTACCATTGTAATCATTTTTAAGTATACACTTCAGTGGCATTAAGTACATTTATACATTATGCAATGATCATCATTGCCTAGCCACAGAATGTTTTTTGTCTTGCAAGAGGAAACTTGATACCCATTAAACCTAACTCCCCATTCCCCACTCCTCCCAGCCATTAGAAATCTCTGTTCCATTTTCTGTCTCTAGGAAATTGACTATTCTAGGTACCTCATACACAAGTAGAATCACACTGTATTCATCTTTTGGTGACTGACTGGCTGGTTTCACAAAGCCTAATGCCCTCAAGTTTCATTCATTTTGTAGCATATGTCATAATTTCTTTGCTTTTTAAGACAGAGTAATATTCTGTTGCATGTGTACCCTCTCGCCCACATATTTTGCTTACCCATTCATCTGTTGATGAACGCTTGGGTTGCTTTCCCATTTCAG